GGAGAGCGAGCAGCGGGGCAGCCGTGGGGCTGCCAGCAGCACGGTGGGGGGCTCGGGGGCTTTGCAGGCACAGGCGGGAGCGGAGTCCCGGCCCAGCTGGGGTCTCACAAACACCCCAGGGTGGTCCTTGCACCTTTCTGGGCACCACAGCGGCCTTTTGGTGCAGCCCTGCCACCTCCCTGTACCTTTCTGTGCTCCCGTGTTGGCCTTTCTGTGCCTTCTGTGGCCCCACAGAGCTCTCCTGTGCCTTTCGGTCCCGTCCCCTCCCCAAGGACTTTTTGGTTTTGGACTTCTGGGATCTTTTGGTACACCCTGAGGCCTCTGTGCAGAGGCAGCCTTAGCATGCTTTCCAGCGCGTCACTTCTGGCCTTTCTGTGCCTTTCGTGGCATCCCAGGCCCCTCCTTGTGTCTTTTGGGGGTGACCCTGGGGCCTTCGTGTACCTCTTGGGGCTTCCCAATGGTGTCTGTGTGCCTTTTGGGGTGCTCCAGGACCCTCCTTGCACCTCCCGGTGCAGCCGGTGTATTGGGAGCCTTGCAGAAGACAGTGTATTTGAGGAGTTAGTGATCTTGAACAGGCCGCGCAGGCTCTACTGCGCCCCATCCTTCGGGCTGGAGAAGCCCCTCTGTTGTTAAGGTCATCTGTAATGTACAATGTCTTTGGGAAAGGTAAGCTGCATGTGGATCAAGGGGTGAAACCTGTTGATCCTGACCATTGAGACCGCTCCACTTTTAGCAGATGGTGAGCCACATCACAGTCAACCTGGGCAGGCACAGGCTTGTGACGTAAGATTTACTTGCTATCTATGTTTTACTGGAGACTTCAAGGTTTACTAGCTTTCTCTTCGTCTTCTACCTTATTAAAGCTTTTCTCCTCTTAAGCCGTTTGTTGTTGGGCCTTTCTTGCTGAGATCCAGAAAGAGCCCTGCACTGCTTCCCTCTCGGCATCACCCCACCACGCAACTCCACGTGGCCCTCTGAGCTCCTTTCTGGGGCACCCCAACCTCCTCCGTGTGCCTTACAGTGCACCCCTGGGTCCCCAGGGAGCCAGCAAGGCGCTTGGCCCCCGGAGCACACGGAGTGCTGCTCTGTGGCCCCTTGGTTGAGCACACAGGTACTCGGTGACAGCACAGCACTGGGGATGGGAGATGCCTGAGCAGGGCAGCTGTCCTGCAGGCAACCAGGGATGACACTGGCTATCAAGCTTGTGCAGATGTGGGACCCCAGTGGGCAGAGCACCCTGGGATGGGGTTTGCTGCTCTGGCTCTGCTCAAACAGAGCAACAGCCCAAAAGGCGGGTGCCACCTCCTGCAGGTTCTCTGCAGCCAGTAGCCCACGGCACACAGGTTAAATCTGGACAGGGGCTTTTCCTCTGGAGGCCTCATGTTGAGGATGGTCTGTGTTGCCAGGGCAGAGACCAAGGGATGGTAGTCATTCTCCAAGGGCTGAAGAGCTGAAATAGAAAGAAAAGGAGTGGAGATCAAACCCCTGTGTCTGCAGAGGCCCCAGGCATCCTCTCCAGACAGCGCCAGCCCACCCAGCCTTTCCCAAGCTCTGAGGAAGCTGGGGCACCAAGGGGCCAACTAGAAGTTGCTGGTCTGGGCTGCCCCAAGTCTCCTCTCCCCTCTGCACAGGGGTGCAGAGCCTGCCTTGCCTGGGGCACGGCATCCTGCCCTCACTAACCCACAGAGTCTGCAGCTTCTCGCTCTGATGCCTCGTGTGCTGCAACAGTGAGCCCTAGGCACACGCAGCCCGTCACCCCTGCACTCCCCCGCAGCACAGCCCCGCCAGGACATGACAGCCTGACCTGTGGGCAGGGCTGACCCCGGGGCCGCACAGGACAGCAGCCGAGGGGAGCGTATGGGGCAGGAGGAGGCTCCCATCAGCCCACCTGCGTGGGCAGGGATGGGAGAGGGAGATGCGATGCCCAGGCCGGTGCTGGGCAGTCAGGACTCCGCTGGGACAAGAGGGGACCACATGTTGTGGTTCACCAATGAACCTCACAGCAACCTCTGGCAAGGATGCCTGAGGGTCCTCCAGGTAGGGTAGGCTCTAGCACAGGTACCTGTACCATGCCAGCTAGAGACAGCACTGGGACGCAGGGCTGATGCAGACCCTTGCCAGGCATCCAGGTTTGTTCCTCCTCCTGGGGACACCATCCCCTTCCCACCCACACCAGGACAGTGGAAGGCAGAGTGTGTCCAGGGGATGGTGATGAGAGACCCCATCCTGCTTCCATGCCCAGCAGGAGCAGGGTCTTGTCAACCTCAGGGAGTCAGCAAGGGGGCTGGTGCTGATCTTCCATGTCTGCGAGGTTTTGGCCAGGTGCCTGAGCTGTTCCCACTGCAGGGGCTGTGCGACTTTGAGGAGGATTTCTTGAGAGGCTCAGAGAACCATAGAGGTGCCACCACAGCCCAGGGCAGGGCACTCTCCACCTTCATCGTGGCCAGTCTTAGATCTTTTCCAGTTCTTTTGGGGAAGGTGGTGCCCAGGACCGAGCCTACCCCAGGCTGAAGAACATGGTGCGCCTGGGACAGGCAGGGGAGCAGCTCTGTGCTGTCCTTGGGGACAAGTAGGTCAGGTCTGACAGTGACACACGCTCAAAGGGTGCATCTGTCAGCAGCCCTGTCGTGGCCCTAGTGCTGAGGCCCACTTGTGGAGTGTCAGCATCCCATGTCATTGTCCTCCTTGAATCACTGGTGGAGTCAAACTCAGTTGCTCATGCTGAAGAAGGGCAGCTGAGGGCTCCTGTCCACTTTCTTCCTCATCCTCCGTTTGCCACTTCGCATCACAGTCTCTATCATGTTTTTGAAGAGGAGGATGGAGACCACTTGCACCCAGTAGTGACAGCCTCTCCTGGGCACTTTATGCCTCTCCCTCTGGAGGGGACACGCTCTCCTTGGGGTTCCATCAGGTTCTCCCTGATGGTTGAGGGAAAGGGGTGGGTTTTTGATGGGCTCAGGCTGGCTCCTGGCTCTTTGCTTGTCTCTGCTTCAGTGGAGCAGCCGGGAGCATGTGAGGTAACGGTGGGGCAAAATGCATCCTGGCACTTCCCAGGGGTACGACCTTGCCTGCAAGGGGGCACAGGGGGAAGGGACACATAGCTCCTGAAGCAGTGCGGGGCAGCCGTGGACATACCACATCATCCAAGAGGGGCAGGAGTGTCTGTCAGCTGCCCCAGAGATGATGCTGACATCCTGCCCCCCCCCACCAGGGAACTAGGTGTCTTGCCCTGCCACCCAAGGGGACCCAGGTGTCCTGCCCCCCATGGGACACGTGGCTGAGGCCAGAATGCATGGTCCAAGGCAACATGGGTAGGGGGCACCCGAGGTGTGCAGCCAGTCACGTGGTTTGTTAATGACTACCTAGTGACCTTGGGGGGACCGCGAGGGGGAGTGGGGCCTCCTGGATGCCTGGCGCCCCCCACACATCTGCTGGACCTTGCTCTTTGCCCTGCCCCTCCTCCTGGATCCTTGCCCATTGGGCCCAGCTGGGGCCACTATAAAAGAGGCGCGGAGGAGTGGGAGGGATCCCGGAGACCCCGAGGCCATAAGGGAAACTGAGGCACACATACAGGTGCGGGTGAGGGATGCGTAGGGGACCAGAGTGTCTGCGGGAGGGGACTGTGAGGAACCCAAGCATGCAGTGGGGGAGGGAGGATATGTAGGGGATCCACATGTCGGGGCAGGGGGTGGATCTATAGGGGACCCAAAGGTCCAGGGGGGGTGTTCCATAGGGGACCCAGGCTTCTGGGGAGTGCGGAACTGTAGGGGACCCAGGTGTCCATGGGGTGTTCTGTAGGGGACCCAGGCATCCAGGTGGGATCCACAGACAGACCAGGTGTTTGCGAGAGGGTCCCCATGCATTTAGAGGGGATTTGTAAGGGACCCAGGTGTCTGGGAGGGGGAATTTGTTAGAGGAATTGAGCATCCAGGGTGGGGGTTCCAACTGGGGGCCCGGAAATCCAGATGGCCCTGACCCCACTTCCCACAGGTGTCCATGGCAGGCTGGGCCCTATGCACGGCCCTGGTGCTGGCAGCACTGGCAGGGGCGGGGGGCGAGAGTCGCTACGAGAAGTTCCTGCGGCAGCATGTGGACCACCCCCAGACAGCCACGCTCATGGCGCACCGCTACTGCGAGACCATGCTGGCGCGCCGGCGGGTGACAGCCCCGGGGCGGCCCTGCAAGCCCTCCAACACCTTTGTGCACGCGCCGGCCGAGGAGCTGGTGGCTGCCTGCACCCAGACGCCTGATGCAGCGGGGCTCCACAGCACCCCAACATCCATGGGCCTCACAGCCTGCCGCCTGCGGGGGAGGGACACCCGGCCCCCTTGTGCCTACCGGGCCCGGCAGCTCCAGCACCATGTGCGTGTCGCCTGCCTTGATGGGCTGCCCGTGCACCTCGCTGGCACCCACGCACCCCCTCAGTGAGGCTTGACATGGAGGGGAGCTGTAGGTGGGGACGTGGATTCTCCCTCTTCCACTGGGGGCTCCATTAGGGCCTGCAATAAAGGAGGTGCCACAGGCCTGGACTCCGGCATCAGCTTCTGGGGGGACCCTGCGATCCCACCCCTCTCTGGGTGCCCCTGAGCCCCCTTGGGTGCCCCCAGCCCTGTCCAAGGTGGACCTGGCCCCCCATGTGCCTCATAAACCCCTGGGTTTTCCCAACCTCCTGGGTGTCCCATAGCCCCCTAGGGTGCCTCTGACCTCTCCTGTGCCCCATAGACTCCCCTTTCCTGGGTGCTCCACAACTCCCCTGGGTGCCCCATAGACCCTGGTGCCCCCCAGGGTCCCCTTACCCCCTGAATGTGCACCCAACTCCCTCCCCTGGTATCCTGACCCTTCGGGTGTCACATTGCTTTCCTGGATGCCCCATAGCTCCTGCAGGGTCTCCCAACCTCCCATGTGCCTCATAACCCCCTGGATACCCCCAACTTCCCCCATGCCTGCCCCATAAACCCTCATGTGCCCCACGGTCCCCTCTCCCACATGCCTCTGACCCCATCTGGGACCTCTCTGGGGCTGAGGCTTCTCTTGGGCCCCCTTGGCACCCCCATGGAGCCGAGCACTGGCTGGGGCCACACACAGCCCTGAACCACCCCTCCACGCACACTGAACACACACAAAAACACAACACATGCACACGCGCAAACACACAAGGCACACAAAACACGCACTGTGCATACAACACACAACCACACACTACACTCACAACACAAAACATATACACAACACACACACCCCTGCTCCTACACACAACACACATACACAGCACAAACACCCCCCCACACATACACAATATACAAGCACATATGCACAACACACACAACATGCACACACATACACAAACACATACTTTCTTGGGTTTGGATGGGATTTCATGTGTTTCAGCTTGCGTTCACCACCTCTTGTCCTGTCACTGGGCACCACTAAGAAGAGCGTGGCTCCCTTGTCTTCATTCCTCCCCATCAGTACTTATCAGTACACTGATAAGCTCCCCCTGCCTGAGCCTTCTCTTCTCCGGGTTGAACAGTCCCAGCTCTTTCAGCCTTCGTCTTACCAGTGATGCTCCAGTCCCTTCATCATCATCAGCCCTTTGCTGGACTCCCTCTAGTATGTTCACATCTGTCTTGTACTGGGGAGTCCATCACTGGATCCAGCATTCCAGGTGTGTCTCAGTAGTGCTGAGCAGAGGAGCAGGATCACCTCCCTCCACCTGCTGGCAACACTCTGCCTAATGCAGCCCAGCAGGCTGGAGGTCCTCTCTGCTCTGGTCCTATTGCTGAGGAAGCCCTGAGGACTCCGATGGAAGTGCTGACATCCAGGTGCTGTGCTGCTGCAAAAAGGCAGCCCAAATGCACTCAGAAATTGTAGCTGAGGAGGAAAAGAAGCACAGCAAATGGTCTTCCTGATCCTTTTCTGTGTCCTGTTATCCCATCCAAGATGTCTCTTCCTCATGTGCCTTGAGTAACTCAGGTGCTCCTTTTCTGGAATTCAGCAGAAAGGCACCAGTCCCTCCATGGACTGGTGAGCTCCAAATCTCAGCCCTGCCCCAGTGAGGAGAACTCTACTCCCTGTACACTGGAGAGGGAT